CTCACCAGCCTGCCCCTGGCCCCGCCCTGCCCCCAGGCCCCATCCCCCCCTGCCCCCAGGTCCCACCATGCCACAAGGACCCCACCTCATCACACCCCAGGACTCTGCCCCGTGCAGGCCCTGCCCTCTCATGACTTGCTTACTCCACCCCACCCCTCCGCCTCGCTGTGCCGTGGGGCCCAGGTCCTGCCCTGTCACACCAAGGGAACCCCACCCACGCCACATGGCCTCTGCCCCTCCCACAGGTTTTGCCCCATCACGCCACAAGGACCCCGCCCCACCATGCCCCACCCCTCATACAGTGAGGGCCCCGCCCCTGATCTATGCTGCCCCCCGGCCTTCTCCCCCACATCTCGAGGGCCCCGCACCGTGGGGCTGGCTGCCATATGGTGCTGCACGGGCCCTGCCACCTCTCCTGTGGTCACGTAACTGCTGGGCATACCGCCTCCGCTGGGGGCTGCTGCAGGTCCCAGCGGGCATCAGCCACCCCTCTGTGAGGATAGACGCGGGAGCATGTTCCAGCGTGTATTAGCATGTGGTCGCATGGGCTGGCACGTGTTGGGGGCTGTGTGCATGTGTGGGGCATGTTGTGGCGTGTGCGGGCGTGTGCCTGGGAGCATTGTCACCTGCCCCCTGTTCCCTTCCAGGAGCGCCGTTTGCACATGTACGTCGTTTACTGCCAGAACAAACCCAAATCGGAGCACATTGTCTCTGAGTACATCGACTCCTATTTTGAGGTGAGGGGACCCCAGCTTCCCCATCCGGCCCCTCTATGACCCCCCCCCCCCGAGCTGGGACTCTGGTTACCCCCATCCGACCCCCCCCAGTCCCCAACTCGCCCTCTGCAACCTGCCCCATCCGACCCCCGCCTCTCTCCCCAGTTCCCCCTGTCTGACTCCCCTCTTGCTGTCCTGCCTCACCCCTTCCAAGCCCCCCACCCTCACTCCCCCAGCCAGGATCCCACCTCACTCCATCCAACCCCTCCTCGCTCCCCCAGCTGGGACCCCAGCTCAACCCATCCAACCCCCAACGCTCCCTGGCTCGTCTGACCCCCACACACACTTACTGCCCCAGCCAGAACCCCTAGTTTGCCCCATCTGCCCCCCACCCTGGCTGGACCCTCCTGGAGGTGGGTGGGCCCGGGCCCGTGGGGAGCACGAGGGGGCTGATGTGCTGCCTCTGTTTCCCCAGGAGCTGAAGCAGGAGCTGGGCCACAGGCTGCAACTCAATGACCTGCTGATCAAGCCGGTGCAGAGGATCATGAAATACCAGCTGCTGCTCAAGGTGAGAAAGGTCTGCCAGGACCAGACGCGCTCCGCCCCAGAGCCAGCCGCCCACACCAGGCTGCTCAGGGCTGGGGACGCTCCACCCCAGAACCAGCCGCCCACACCCTGCTGCCCAGGGCTGGGGATGCGCTGCCCCAGAGCCAGCTGCCCACGCCGGGCTGCCCAGGGCTAGGGATGCTCCACCCCAGAGCCAGCCGCCTATGCCGGGCTGCCCAGGGCTGGGGACTGTCACGGACTCACAGATCGTGCCCACTCTTGGCCCCGTGCGGTCCGTGGGGGGTGCCCCTTTTAGTGAGACAGCCCTTCTCGGGGGTCCACTCTCTCTCGGGGTCAGGCCCCTCCACCTCCTGGATCCGCACCTCTCGGAGCCCTAGCACACCTGTTTCTCGCCGTGGGCCCCCTCAGGGAGTCCACTCACTCTGGACCAAAGGGGTTGATGCCACCCCGTTCTCTAGACCGGAGTGACTCTCAGCCAGTGTAAAACAGGAGGGTTTATTGAGAGTTGAACACAGCACAGGAAACTCTCAGGG